AACACAAGTGTTACAATGAACTCAGGGCTTTTCTGCAATCAGCTGGTGCATCTGTGATCCCACACACCTTCCACTCCCTGGACTGGAAGAGGGGCTTCTGGCTGCACAGCTGTAGGTACAGCTCAGGCCCCACAACCCTGCCCACATCCTGCTGAGGCTGGAGGCACAAGATGAGCTGTCCGCACAGGCCAGCTGTAACTGCACAGGCTAGCTGTAACTGCACAGTAACACCCACCAGGTGTTACTTTGGTTTTAAAATCCCCCTTCATTTGAGGAGGATCCTGAAACTTAAATAATATGCAAATAAAAGCTAAATAAAATGGGAGAAAACCTAATACCTTTTCTATCAAATTACCAACTAATGTGCATGTGTCTTATACATAGTAGGTACTCATAACTTTTAAAATAAATAACAAAAGATATATTAACCTGAGTATGAGGGAAATATATAAAGAATTAAAGAATTTTATTAAGAATGAAGCTTAAGACTATCAATTAATGGTTTTCAATGGCATTTTTTCCTTTCACACTAGTATATTACCATCTATACTGAGAATGTTACTGGTAAGTTGTTGTTAGCCAATATTTTGGTATTTGCTATATGCTCTACATTCACTATTTCATTCTGTTATCACAACAGCATGTGTACAATTATGAAAACCATTTCACAGATGGAGAAAATGAAACTTAGAGATGTCAAGTAATTTGCCTGGGAACACAGATTGAGGAAACACTTGGATTATCAAAAAGATCCATTCCAATGCTAATGCCCTAACCATACATAGTTATTGACAATAGTTACACTGAAGGTTTCTAAGATTTTCTCTAGTTTTTTTAATTAAAGGGACCCAAGAATTTCTCACTTGCATTCTAATATGTTGTTTTGAGGGAGAGATGAGGCTAGAATCATGGCTAATATGTGGAAAATGATGAGAAACTACGATGCTCATGAAATCTTTTGTATGTTTATCACAGTGGAGAAAAGACTGAGACCTGATTTTAGAGTTTCTTATTGGAAATTCTAATTATTGAAACTGAGTTTAGTCCAACAATACAGTACTCTCCAATTCAAGGTTCTAAATACTTTTCCTTCTAGTTTTTCATTCTCCTGAAATGCTTACTTGATTTTTGTTTCATTAAAAAAAAAAAAACTGATTTAAAGTTTTTTTATACTCTACATTCACTCATATTTTAGATTCATTCTTTCAAATAGTCATCGTTTATTGCCTTGATAATGTCTAAACAATTCCAAGTCTGCAGAAAAAGGTATGACACCAGCGGCTTGTTTTTTGTTTGTTTTTTGCCGTATGCGGGCCTCTCACTGTTGTGGCCTCTCCCGTCGTGGAGCACAGGCTCCGGACACGCAGGCTCAGCGGCCATGGCTCACGGGCCCAGCCGCTCTGCGACATGTGTGATCCTCCTGGACCGGGGCACGAACCCATGTCCCCTGCATCGGCAGATGGACTCCCAACCACTGCACCACCAGGGAAGCCCCAACGGCTTGTTTTCACACAGTCTTTCTTGCAAGGTCCCACTTTCCTCCTTGATTACCTGCTTTGGATTCACATGATATACAGAGTTTCATTTTGGTGGTCTCCAGGTGGGTTCTACTTAAACTGCCTTTGGGATATATAGCCTAGTTCAGGTACCTGTATTTTAGTATACTGTTTTTCAATGTTAATTTAAGTATATATATTATAATTTAAATATATACTTTATATATGTGTATATATATATGGCTTTTGTAACATATGTATGTTACAAATATATGCTTGCTGTTCCAGCAGTACATGCTCACTGGAATAACGTATTAAATAACAAGAAGCATGTGAAGTTGAAATGAAAAATTTTAGAAATTTTACTGCCAAAGATAATCATTTTTTAAAGTTTAGTGTTTACCTTCCATATTTTGGAGTTAACTTGATATTTTGTGAAAGTTCCCAACTCTCCTCTACTTTGGTAGGAACTTCTTTTCCCTTCATTTTTTTACTGACCCTATTCTGCTCAATTTGATTTCATTTCCAGAAGTTTCTCCTCTGGGTAGTGCCCTGTCCAGGAAGGGAGCTGCTGTCCTCAAATCCACTATTTTGTGGATCTCCTTGTCTCACATCCTCCAGACACCCAGTTGCTTCTCCTCTGCATCCATCTGCACAGACACTGTGGTTTGCTGTCACCTGCTTTTACTCCATGGTCTGTGCACATATCTTGCACCCGTTGTGGTTGCATACATTGTTAGTGGATTTTGGGGTTTTTTATTTAGTTGTTCAGTCTGTTTTTATGTAGAATTATAGAAAGATTAAAAAACCATGTCACTATTACTTCTATCTTCCCAGAATCTCCCTGTACTCTCAGGCTTTCTATCTTATAACAAGTTAAACTAGCTACAGAGCAAGATCAATGTCATTCTTAATTGTCCCCAGACTTAGAAATAATGTTCTCCATGGGATATGTTTGTCAACTTTGGCTGCACATCAGTAGCACCTTGGGAGCTGTAAAAATGCCAATGCCAGGGTCCCATCCTTGAGATTTAATTGGTCTGGGGTGGTGTGCTCCCCAGGTGATTCCAGTGTATAGCCAAAGTTGACAACCAGTAATAATACGAAATAAGGAAAACAGTTTTCAAAGCATTTGCAAGGTCTTTAGCGATCCACTGAGACCAAACTAGTTGCTTTCTGCTCAAGCTGCATGTAAGTGTAGTCCCTGCCCCATTCCTCTCCCATGTGATTCAGGTTAGGCTGACCCATTCCCCCAGCAACTGGAGTAGTTAAGTTACCCAGGTGTGCCCAGTCAGGGTGCTCCATTCCTGTCCTGGGATAGACACATGACCCAAGTGGAACCAATGAAGAAATTTCCCACAATATTTGCTAGGGTTGTCATAAAAGAAGCACTCTCTTTTCACAGAAATTGTGAGCTGAAAGATCACTGAATCTTGAACTTCCTTAGGCTATCTTTACTCCAAAATCAGGAAAATCTGCCTGAGATTAGCATAGAGAGGAAAGCACTGTTGAGAAATGGAAAGAGTAGACAGTATCCTGATAAGTGTTGATGGAGTTTTTAGGGGTCCAAAATATAATACCCCTCTTTGCCTAAATTCAGAATAATTGAGAGATAGATGGAGAGGTTAGGTAAATGGAGATGAAATCATTACTGAGAAGCTGACTGAGGTCATGGCTTTGGATTGCTGCCCAAAAGAACTTTCTAACGCTCTGCTCCTTAGTTAATCGGACTTACAACCAGTCATGGGCATGGCTGAGATCTTTAGACTTTGCCCTCCACTGCAGACTGCACAAGGTAGTAGGGCAGACTGGAAGACAGACCATCTTATCAGAGAAAATGAAGGGCACTGGGAGAGCCAAACCATGCGCACATGCCAGATACTTTTTCCAATTCCCCAGCTGAGTAACTCTCTCCTAGGCTATGGCTCATGGTTCGGTGACCTGAGGTTCTGCTATATTTTAGCCCCTACTTGCCTCCATTGCATCAGTGTGCCCACAGATCTAGATCACTCCTCCTATGAATGAGGAATGAATGAGGAGTTGGAGAGTGCTAGAGCTCTTCTCATGCTTGTTCATCCTCAAAGAGTCACAACTGCTTGAATTCTTGGATCCAGCTACATATAAAGCCACCTGTACTCCTGAATTTCCCAATTGCGATCAAATAAATTCTCTTTCTTTGTTTAAGCCAGTTTGATGTAGGTCTTTGTCATTTACAAACCTGAAGTTTTGATGAATACATTAGCTAATTTTCTTATATTTAATAAAATCAATTTCAAGAAACATGTATTGAGTGGCTAGAGGGAAATACCATCTTTTCTAGGGCTGTAAATGGGCCTCCTTTGAGGGCACATTAGGTTTAGTATTGGATTTGGATGCGACTGCCCTTTTGGAATCTTTATAACATGGCCTTATGGACAGGCTTTCCAAATTCCTATCACTGCTCCTTCACCCACTCTCTTCCGGTCTGGGGTGGTAAGTTTCAGTATTACCGGGCCCTAGCATACTGCACCGTCCTTTAGAATTCCTCCACCTGCCCATACCTTTTGTAAACAGTCCTTTGATTAAGCCTCCTTGAGTTATTCTACTTGTTCTTTGACTGTAGCGACTTTTCCCATTGGCCTCCTGACTGAGAGCAGATCAGTCATTTTGTTACATTGACCCAGATGTACCTTCTCTGGCACTAAAATGTCCTCAAGAGAGCTGACATAGTCACTTTTAAATATAGCTACTATACAAAGGTCAAAACCTTTGAATGTTTTACCCAAGAGAAACTTTTTACCCACCCCACCCACTCACTCCCCTGTCCTGCAAACAAGGACAACATTTGGCTATTGAAGAAAAATCAATTTTTCAAAAGAAATATTCCCCTCCTTCTTTCCCTGATCAGATTATCAAGAATAAAACAAACATCCAGATAGGAAAAGTATTTGCTCATCTCAGAATTCTCCAAGTGGTGAGAAGACATTTAAAAATTCACTTAGTTAATTTAAACTGTAAATATTGTTTTAAAGTATCACATAAGAAAAGGAGCTTGAGAATAAAGCATTTTTTTTGTGGGGGAGGGATAATGTGCTGTGGCTTTTTGTGTACTATTCTCAGATGAGTGAATTATTTCTTTCTACTTTTTCCCCTCTCTTTTTTCTCTTTAGCCAAGGAGGAAGGAATCAAAAGTGTCATTTCTAATCTTCATTTTTTTTCTCATTTCTTATCTACTAACTTCATTTGCTATTAAAAGAGCACTATACACAATTAAAATTACTTTTTGGAGGGGTATTTTAAATGGTACTGAAGCGCTGCTGAGGTTCTTTTAGCTACACAGTATAAACAAGTCAGTAGCTTTCACCACATTTCAAAATAACCAATGAGAAAACATCATGGAAAAAAGACACATCCCATGCACACAGTATGAAAGGGCATAGAAAATTTATGAGCAGCCTTAACAAGAAATGTGCATGACCGATATGAAGACAATTATATAACTTTATTGAATGTATAAAGAAGATGAATAACAATAATAAAAATTAGCATTTCTGTGTACTTTGTGCTAGGGCCTATGCTCCATGTTTTCCCTGTGTCACTTCCTTATCTATGAAGCTGAGAAGCAGCGCAGTAGCCAGCACTCTCTTGAGCCTGACTTGGTTTCCTTAACTTCTCTGTGCTTCAGTTCTCCATCTGTAAAACCAGGAGAGGTACAATATATATATCACAGAATTGTTATAAGATTTAAATGTCAGTACAAATAAAGTGCTCAGAACGGTGCCTGGCAAATAGCAAGCGACTGCTATAGTTACCTTCACCACTTCTTTCAACAGCCTCATGACACGGGCACCACTTTTATAATCAGTTACAGAGGAAGAAGCTGATATCAGGGAGGCTAGGGGCTTGCCTAATGTCATCCAGCAAGTAAGTGACTGGGATTCCTATGCTGGCTTGTCCAACTCAAGAGCTAGGACTCTGTATTTATTACATGTTTGTGTTTCTAGATAAGAAGGCAATGGTATTTGTTTTGTGACTTTGTAGAGTAATTCTAGAGTTCATCTGGTAAAATTAACAATGTGTTAAAAATAGAGAAATAGGAGATTAGTCATAGATGGTTGCATCAAAATTGTAAATATTTCTATGTTAAAATAGAAGATAATTAGGGTGATGGAAACGTTTTCTATCTTCATTGTAGTAGTAGTTACACAACAGTAATCCTTTTAAGTTTAATTAAGTCCCATGTGTTTATTTTTGTTTTTATTCCCGTTACTCTAGGAGGTGGGTCATAAAAGATCTTGCTGTGGTTTATGTCAAAGAGTGTTTTTCCTATGTTTTCCTCTAAGAGTTTTATAGTGTCTGGTCTTACATTTAAGTCTTTAATCCATTTGGAGTTTATTTTTGTGTATGGTGTTAGGTAGTATTCTAATATCATTCTTTTACATGTAGCTGTCCAATTTTCCCAGCACCAGTTATTGAAGAGGCTGTCTTTTCTCCATTGTATGTCCTTGCCTCCTTTATTGTAAGTCAGGTGACCATATGTGCATGGGTTTTTCTCTGGGCATTCTATCCTGTACCATTCATCTATATTTCCGTTTTTGTGACAGTACCATACTATCTTGATTACTGTAGCTTTGTGGTATCCTTTGAAGTCAGGGAGCCTGGTTCCTCCAACTCCATTTTTCTTTCTCAAGATTGCTTTGGCTATTTGGGGGCTTTTGTGTTTCCATACAAACTGTAAAATTTTTTGTTCTAATTCTGTGAAGAATGCCATTGGTAGTTTGATAGGGATTGCATAAAAAGCTTTTGCACAGCAAAGGAAACCATAAATAAGACAAAAAGACAACCCTCAGAGTGGGAGAAAATATTTGTAAATGAAACAACAGACAAAGGATTAATCTCCAAAATATACGAACAGCTCATGGAGCTCAGTATCAAAAAAACAAACAATCCAGTTAAAAAATGGGTAGAAGACCTAAAAAGACATTTCACTAAGGAAGACATACAGATGGCCAAGAGGCACATGAAAAGATGCTCAACATCACTGATTAGAGAAATGCAAATCAAAACTACAATGAGGTATATCACCTCACGCCCGTCAGAATGGCCATCATCAAAAAATCTAGGAACAATAAATGCTAGAAAGGGTGTGGTGTAAAGGGAACCATCCTGTACTGTTGGTGGGAATGTAAATTGATACAACCACTATGGAGAACAGTATGGCGGTTCCTTAAAAATCTAAAAATAGTACTATTGTGTGACCCAGCAATCCCACTACTGGGCGTATACCCTGAGAAAACCATAATTCAAACAGAGACATGTACCACAATTTTCATTGCAGCACTATTTACAATAGCCAGGACATGGAACCAACCCAAATGTCCATCAACAGATGAATGGATAAAGAAGATGTGGCACATATATACAATGGAATATTACTCAGCCATAAAAAGAAACAAAATTGAGTTGTTTGCAGTGAGGTGGATGGACCTAGAGTCTGTCATACAGAGTGAAGTTAAGTCAGAAAGAGAAAAACAATTAACATATGCTAACACATATACATGGAATCTAAAAAAAAAAGAAAAGGTACTGATGAACCTAGTTGCAGGGCAGGAATAAAGAGGTAGACATAGAGAATGGACTTGAGGACATGGGGTGGGAGGGCGAGGCTGGGGTGAAGTGAGGGTAGCATCGACATATATACACTACCAAATGTAAAATAGTTGGCTGGTGGGAAGCAGCCGCATAGCACAGGGAGATTGGCTCAGTGCTTTGCGATGACCTAGAGGGGTGGCATAGGGAGGATGGGAGGGAGGGGATATGGGGACATGTGTATGCATATGGCTGATTCGCTTTGTTGTGCAACAGAAACTAACACAGTATTGTGATGCAATTATACTCCAATAAAGATCTATTAATTTTTTTTTTAAAGTGAAAAAACAAAAAACCCCACAGTAATCCTAGCCAAAACTCTTAAACTTTACACTTAGAAGGGGTGAATTTTATTTGTGAACATTATTCTGCAATAAAACTTGGGGAAAAAAGAAGATAACTATTGTTTAAAAGGTAAGCAATCAAGTAGGGGGAAATTTACCCAAATAGAACAAACAGTTAATAAGTTTGCTATAGCACCAACCAAAGCTAGTCAATCATATAACCTATGGTGCAGCAATTCCAGTCTTGTGTATATACCCAGAAATGAGTGCTTATATCTGCCAAAAGACATGTAAAGAATGTTCATAGCTGCCTTATTCATAATAATAGCTCCAAACTGCAAACAACCCAAATTTCTATCAACAATAGGATGAGTAAATAAATTGTGTTATATCCATACAGTAGAAAATAACACAGCAATGAAAAAGAATAAATGATATTTGCAACATGGATGAATCTCCCAAACACAATGGTGAATGAAAGAAGCCTGACACAAGAGTACACACAGGATGTTTCCATTTATAAGAAGTATAATACAGGCTAAACTTATCTATGATGATAACGATTAGAATATTTGGGAGTGGTGACTGCTGACTGGGAGGAGATATGGGGGAGCTTCTGGGTGCTAAAAATGTTCCATATCTTTATGCACCCAAATGTTCATAGTAGCACTATTTACAACAGCCAAGATATGGAAGCAACCTAAGTTTCTATCAACAGATGAATGAATAAAGAAGATGTGGGGTGTGTGTGTGTGTGTGTGTGTGTGTGTGTGTGTGTTTGTGTATAATGGAATGCTACTCAGACATAAAAAAGAATGAAATTTTGCCATTCGCAACAATATGGATGGACTTGGAGGGTATCATGCTTAGTGAAATGTATCAGACAGAGAAAGACAAATACTGTATGTTATAACTTATATATGGAATCTAAAAAATAAAACAAACTAGTGAATATAACAAAAAGAAACAGACACAGATATAGAGAACAAACTAGTGGTTACTGGTGGGGAGAGGGATGAGGGGAGAGGCAAGATAGGGGTAGGGGATTAAGAGGTACAAACTACTATATATAAAATAAATAAGCTAATAAATAAATAAATAAGTTACAAAGATATATTATAGAGCACAGAGAATATAGCCAATATTTTATAATAACTGTAAATGGAGTATAACCTTTAAAAATTATGAATTACTGTGTTGTACATGTGAAATTTATATAATGTTATAAATCAACGATACCACACACAAATGTTCTATATCTTGATCTGGGTGGTGGTTACATGCGTGTGTACATATGTAAAGACTCGTTGGACGGTACACTAAGATTTGTTTACTTTCCTGTATGTAAACTACACCTCAAAAAAAAAAATCTGAATTAATGAAATGGGCAAAGGACTTGAGATCACAAAAGAAATCAACTGACATAACTCTCATGGACACATAGATGCACATTCCATCTGAGTAAGCAGACAAATGCAAATGAAAGTTATTTTTAAGTTAAAATACCTATAGCTGAGCAAGATAGGAAGTTATGAGGAAGATGCTGAGATGAATTTACATGCAAATGATTATCAAGGAAGTTCTTAAATGGGAAGCCAGTAAGGGAGTGGAGGTAGTAGAATAGGGGAGGGGAGCTCTGGAATGTAAATGACACCGCATAGTTTATTCTGTCTCAAGTCAAGTGATCTGGGCTTTCACACTCCTCTACTAGTCAGAAGTTGACTACCTGCTGCCCTGGGGTGAGGGGACAGAACATCAATTCCCCCCATCCCACCCCATTTCTGGCTCCCAGTGCATCCTGCCTAAGGGGCTCCTGTAGCCCAAAGGTAGTTCTCTGAAGAAGGCTGCCAGAAATTACATTAAAGTTAATTGTGCAGAAGCTGGGGGGATGGGCAGATACAAAAGAGGAATCCAGGGAATCTAGGTGGAGTGTTGATGGTATTTCAACAATTGTCTTGATGTCAGGTTAGGGGGATAGCAGCATGAGGTATCATCTTGCATGAGATTGAAATGACCAATTATGACCAGTTGAGCAAGTAGATAAATACAGCCGGGAATGAATGAATGGTCTTTCCTCAGACTAGTCTTTCCAATAAACTTCCCATACTCAGCTCCGGACGCGCAGGCTCGGCGGCCATGGCTCACGGGCCCAGCCGCTCCGCGGCATGTGGGATCTTCCCGGACCGGGGCACGAACCTATGTCCGCTGCATCGGCAGGCGGACTCTCAACCACTGTGCCACCAGGGAAGCCCCCATACTTTTTTTTAAAATTTATTTATTTTATTTCTTTGTTTTTGGCTGCATTGGGTCTTCGTTGCTGCATGCGGGCTTTCTCTAGTTGCGGCGAGCGGGGGCTACTCTTCGTCGCGGTGCGCGGGCTTCTCATTGTTGTGGCTTCTCTTATTGCAGAGCACGGGCTCTAGGTGCGCGGACTTCAGTAGTGTGGCACGTGGGCTCAGTAGTTGTGGCTCGAGGGCTCTAGAGCACAAGATCAGTAGTTGTGGCTCACGGGCTTAGCTGCTCCGCGGCATGTGTGATCTTCCTGGGCCAGGGCTCGAATCCATGTCCCGTGCGTTGGCAGGCAGATTCTTAACCACTGTACCACCAGGGAAGCCCCTAAACTTCCCCTACTTCTAATATAAAATAGGTGCTTTGTTGCCAGGATTAGCCAAAGGGAGACAGATGTAGGAGATTTATAGGCAGAGAGGTAAGGAGTTGATTTGTTCAGAAAACTTTCAGATCCCATTGAAATCTTAGAAT